AGTCATTAGACATCATTGCAATTTTACAAAAATCACTTTAATTCAGTTTGCTCCGCCTATATGCAGGACTGAAATGTGACTGAATACTCCTCGGCCATCGCTCAACTTCGACATCTATGAATTTGTTGTCTACTGTCTTTAAACAAGAAATCTTATTGTTGTGTTCGTCGACTTTATTTACGTCTCCTTATTTTTTCTACTTAGACCAAACGTATACAACAGGAAATCGTTGGATATGATGAATTTTCCGTGCATTTCTGAAGCAGGATTCCTAAATCAGCTACGGCTTAGTTCCCAACAGTATGGACATCTAGAAGAGACTCAGATACGAACATTCGTTTCCGACGAGATAGGCGTCTAGGCCCCTATTTTTTAATCAAGATGACAAGGTAGAGTGTGGTTGTGGATGTCGAGTGTGAATAAAGAAAAGACCTGCGTCACGTGATCTATATGAGCGATCTTCGAAAAGACTTAATTTTTATTTATTCAAACGAAAAAGAGACAAAAAAACCACCGTGCCATGAAAAGTCGCAAACCTACTTTTGGCCTTCAGAAAACAGAATAGCCGAGCTGTTCTCTAACGAATGGCCATCGTGCTATGTGTATGATCGTACGACACAGTAAGTTTCATTCCAGTCGTAGGACAGGTAGCAGTAACATGAGTATGAATTAAAAATAGATTAAATGACATCGAATAGCAAATCAAAGTAACCTTTCTTCGCCCCTCGCTGCCCTCCGAAAATTATCATGCATAAAATTAATGATGTGTATAGATGATGTGAGGATGCGGGTGGGCATGACTTTGAATTAAGACAATGTATTAATGCCAGCCTACAGGTACTGCACGATAGTCGCACCTAAACAACCACTTCCTGTGACACTCTCTACAGAAGATAATACTTAACCAAAATATGTTTTTAAGTAGTGTCTCGATCTGTAACTCCATATAAAACAATATCTGTCTATGAGAGCCTACGAAAATCCAAGAAAAGCAGAAAAATAAATCTTTTTTCGCGTACCTGATTTAGAGCCTGCTACCTATACTCCAATCATTACTTCTATAGGAAAAGCTCTTTAAAGATCATTTTCTATTCATACGGCTATGTGACTCTGAAAAACACCATGCAATTCAGATACTTCATTGAGAAACATCGCTACAGACATTTTCAGTTATTGACAAGGGGGAAAAAACTGATTTCTGTGCCTAGAAATCATTGGAAATCACTTTAAAAGCTTAAGTATAGAAATACTGAGCTGAAGTAGTTAAAAAATGTTGCAAACCATCGTGAGATATTAGAAAACGTGAGAAATCACCCGAAATCAATTTTAATCATAGAAACCTTCTACAAGTAAAGTTAAAAATAGAAGCCTGATTTCTAGTGATTTCTTTGATTTTTTTTAATTCTAAATGTTTATCAATATTTCATGTGGTGGTTGCTCTTGACTTTTGATGATTTCTAGTAATTTCCCTTCATTTTTAAGCATTTTCTATAGTTCCTATCGATTCACCATAAATATAGAAAAACTGATTTCTAGTCATAGAAATCACTAGAAATCATCAAAAATCACTGGAAATCACTAGAAATCACGGAAATCAAGAAATCAGTTTGTTCTCCCTTGATGATTGTCTAATTTGCAAGGTGTTTCTGAGACTGAAGTACATATTTGAATCGAAACAGACCTTTAATGTCTTTCCCGGGCATGCCTTATTCCTGATATGTTTCTGTAGAAATAAGATCTGATTCCGATCTGATTCCGCATAGATACAACTAAATGCTCATCAGTGTTAGTACCAAAGTCCGGCATAGTTACACGATTTTTTCAATCATGAAAAGTGTTGGGAAGTGAGTGGCTCTGGCACTCTTATTTTACAATTAGAATACTGCTTCCATCTTCCGCAAATTTTGTTTTCGGCAGGAATTACATGGGTACCGGAAGGAATTGACAGGGAAAGGGCTCGTCTTCGACGAACATCTGTAGTATCTCGAAACCGTAGGTCGTCGGCGTGCTTTGCTTTAGCACGATTTTCTTCAGTAAAATTCGTATACTCTTATAATATTAGTCTAATTACATTAATATTGATAGATAAGCAATGTGTCTTTCCATGATATAACGAAAGATGACTGTTTTGGTTGCTACTAGAAATCACTGAAAATCACTTGAAATCATCAGAAATCACTCAAAATCATCTTAAATCATTTGAAATCGCGAAATCAGTTTGTTCCCCCTTGAATCTGATAAAGACTTTCTTTTACCTAATAAGTACACTTTTAAAGGTTCTTTAAATGGATGTAAAAATGCATCGATTATAAAATTTCTGCGAACTTTTCCCCATAACTTATCTCATTCGTGATTAGGAGTGAGCATATAGTCAATAGTTTTGTGTTCTTTATTTGTATATGACATAAAGCATCACACACAACACTTCTATTTATATTTTCTTTTACTTTATAGTGTGTGGCAACAATTCGGCGAAATGTTTTCTATTCTGGAACATCCTAAGTATTATCACATTATGTGTTTTGATTGGCTTTGATATTGCATTATTAATTGATCCGTCAATCTGTCTTTTGACTTTATCATCATGCAGCTCTCAAAGTACATTAAGCTCATTTCACTACGTTATTTCTCCGCTGGCCAATTATACATCAGCAGATGCCAAACGACTTTATAGATACATTCAAATTGGTTGTGCTGGATTATCCCTAATATTTTCTGTGCTATTTCTCGTGCTCTATTGTTGTTCCAGATCTAGCATAAAAACGCATCCAGAAAATGGAAACTCTGAGCATACTAAAGAGCTTCAAGCAGAAAAGGAGAAGAGTGCTAAACTTACTGAGCAGCTTTCAAAGCAGAAAACTGAGATCTTACAACTGAAGAACGATCTAGACGCTTGGAAAAATAAACTACCCCCTTTGAATCCCAAACACAAAGAGCAGTCACAAAAGCAACAACCGACAGTGGCACCATTGGCAAAATCTACTAAAACAAAAATAAGTCAAGGTTCTACGAATGATGATGAGGACTTCAATGAAAATGAAGTGAAAATTGAAGAGATTCCTGAATTATCTAAATATAAAAAATTAAAACCTCCAAAAGACTCTCAACTGCCACCATGGTCCATCGCTGGTCCAACTATTGGACAAATTTTTGGTGCTCCTCCACCTTACTAACGGTATCACTCTTCTGTGCAACATTTATAGAAATGAGTTTGCTTCTTTTATAATGACTATCGCAAAATACAAGCCAACTTATAGCAAACATATCTGATTCTAAGCGCCAATTCATATTATCTAATTATAATATTTTCGTTTTCGTCTATTTCAGATAGATAATCATAGCAAAAAGACAACCAATAAGATAGCAAAAACTACTTTTACGACATTACTGATTTGTTCTTCAGAAATCTGCTTGGTAAGCTTTCTGTGTTTTGTCTAATTTCACCGTGTTAATCCAATAACAGAGAGAGGAAGCTAAAACTACTCTCATCCGACATATTTTGTATGCTGATTAAAACTTTGCGTTGTACTGAGTTTAGATTATATAATTCATACAAATGACTTGTGATTGCTCACAATCTAAAGTTTCTACCTTTTAAACCTCATCATTTGTCGATAATGAGGCTCAAAAACCAGCAAACGCGGAATGATCATAGAGTAGTTTCAAAGAACAAAATAGTATTGTACAAGAAGGAACATCGTAGTTTGAAGTACTTCGTGTATTTTTAAGTACAAAAGTATGATTTTCTCACGTTAGTATCGTCACTATAGTGTGAAAAAGGCATATTAGCAGAAGCAACTGTCTACTCGAAGCCAGACTGCACACAAATATTTCGAAAACTAAGTGTCAATTCGTTGCATTAGCATGTCGTGAATGTCCAAAAACCATTTTTCTGAAGCGAAGCTGTAATTTCTAGGTCTAACATGGGTGGAAGTCAAGGTACACCTAAACGGGAAAACACACCTGGAAATATAGTACCACCATTAAATATTCAAATTCCAGCAGTTAACGAGACAACATTGGAAAGCCGAGAAGATATCACAATTTTGTGGGTTGGTACACTTCCACAAGACATTAGTAAGCAAACACTTGAAGAGAAAATTCAACAAGTCAATAATTCAGTCCGACTATATGACGATCTTACATTATCTTCTGCTGCTTCCCATCTTGGTACGGTAGTTAATTGCATGAAGGACTCTTTAGAGTACATTCAGCTGACGGAAAAAGAAAAAGCTGTTATCATTTTATCGTATTCAGATCCTATGAATTCAGATTTAGTAAAGAAATATTTAGGTGAAGTTAACTCAAAACGTCAAGTGGATTCAATTTTAATTCTTGATAATTTAAATCAGGCTGATCCTTCATGGTCTTCCTCTTTCACAAAGGTGTCGATTTTCAATAATTTCAATCAAGTATTCGCCGAAGTTGTGAAACAAATTGAATTAATAGCTCGTCAGCTTCTAGCATTTAGCTCATTCGAACAAAAGCAGCGCACAACGAAAGATCTAACCAAAGAATCAGCTTCATTCCTATGGTTTCAAGTATTAGTTGACGCCCTGAAAAAGATGCCAACAAATAAAAACTCTTTTAAATCAATGCTCACAATGTGTAGAAATTACTATGGCACGCAAAAAAAGTACGAAGCTGACATTAATGAGTTTGAAAGTAAATATATACCTTCCAATGCAGTAAAATGGTACACTCGTGATACTTTTCTGTATCGCTTGCTAAATAAAGCTCTTCGCACAGAAGACGTTACTTCACTCTATGTATTTCGTACATTCATCGTTGATCTGTGTAACCAGTTGGAAGCAGAGTTCGGAAAACTCAAAGTAAACGAAGATGAATTAATACTATATCGTGGTCAACAAATGTCTGAAACTGAATTTGAAAAATTACAACATAATGAACATAATTTAATATCTACGAATGGCTTTTTCTCAACAACAAGAGGTAAACATATCGCAACGAATTTTGCAAAAACATCAAGCACAAGAGCTGATTTAACGCCTGTTTTGTTTGAAATTTGCGCTAGTACTAAACTAGAGAAAGTTGTATTTGCTGATATTACATCATTAAGTGAATATGCTAGTGAGCAGGAAGTTCTGTTTAGTATAGGTACTGTATTTCAAATTGATAAGGCTGGTTATGATCCTAATGATAAAATGTACAAAGTGAATATGACAGCAACTGATGAAGGATCTAAGAATGTCGCCAAATTAGTTAACAGAAGTTCGGATAGTGGAAGACGTATGTTGTTTGGAGAATTACTATTAGATATGGGAAAATACACAGAATCACAAAAGTATTTTGAGAAGATGAAGGAAGAGATTAATGCAGATGATGCTGAAATCGCTGATATTCATCATAACTTAGGACGTGCCTACGGTTATAAGGGTAATTTTGACAAAGCGTTAGATAATTTCAACCGCGCCTATGACATTAGATCTAGAACGCCTACATCCTCTGGTTATACGCTAGTTGATACACTCAACAGTCTAGGTGTAATCTATGGGGAAAAAGGAGAATATGACAAGG